AATGAAAGAATTTAAGGGTTTTAAGGGTTAACCCCCTCCCCTCAAGTTTGAGTACCAGAGTTTTCCTTATATGTACAAAAGTGTCCGAGTTTAATATATTTTTCCATGTCAATCACTTAATTTCCACAAGCAAATGAAGTAAAATTTAAATTGATTCTAAAATTAAAACGAGTTAGGTATAGTACACTCTGTCCCAAAATTATGAGTTCACTCTAAATTTCATCATAATATGGTTTGCAGATGATAAACTTTAAATATTTTTAATATAAGTTTATTTAGCTTATTTTAAAACATATTGCAAGTTCTCAGACAATTGGAAATATTAAGGCGAAAATTACGCCAAAATTTCTTAAGAACCACTGTCCCATTATTATGAGTTCACTAAATATTTTGCTTCAAACCATTAGGAAAAATCTATAAAAATTCCAAAAACATATATACATTAATACGTGAAAAAATAAAAAAAACTAGGCCCATATCATTACTCAAAGTCGAGATCCTGATACCCCAAAATCAACGTAAAAACGGGGGTAAGAAGCTTTTAAAAATATCTTCGACCCCTTATGGATTATTTTAAATTTTTATTTTAGGTTTATCTGAAAGCCCTTGAAATTTTCTACAAGATAGTTGAATCTTATTTTTCGGAAAAAATTACCTAGAGAGATACAGACCGTTAAACTTCCGAAGCAACCTTAAGGGGCAATTTATCGGCATTCCTCGGGCATAGTATTAGTATTCGGCATAGTATTATTTCAAAATCTAGTGAGTAATATGTAAATCGACAAAGGACAATTACTAGCGAGTAATTTCGAAAAAATAGTAAATAATAGAGTAAATGAAGAAAAAATTTGACAAAAAATTATTTTTATTTTTTAATCAGAGCTTCGTGAATATTGAGGAAATATGAGAATCTGGATGCAGATTGACCAAAAATATGATTTTTCTAAAATAATTATGAAGCTATTATATTTTGTTTAAAACATAACAAAATTGGGATATTCTTCTTTAAATGATGGAAAATTATTTGGAAAATTTTTTTGATTTTTCTTTATCATTTAAATTATTAAACTTGGAAGAATAAATTGTTATTAGAAATTTTTTTAGTATTTTTAGTTTTTAAACTAGAGACAAACTCTAGTTCAAACCAGGGTTTTTCCTCATTTTGAGGGTATTTTGATAGGTTGATGAAAATGATCTTTTTAAAAATTTTACCAAAATTTCGGAAATCGGAAGGAAAAAACGTCGAAAATTGGAATTCCGACCCACCTCTGGTCTATAGGTAGTCTAGGGTTATTGTTACTCTAGTCGGAGCCAACGCATAGTTTCACTTATTCTATTGTACATATTTTCGTTTTGTGATAAAACCTTGTTTGTTAGTCAAGTCACTTCTGTTAGTATCGGAAACACCGCAAGTCGACTCTTGATAAAACTGAAGATGATAAAAGTCTACAGCTCTTGATATAACTGAAAGGACTTTTGACGTTAAAAAAATAAAAATGACTAAAACAGAGCAAAAAGGTTTAGCTATTTTAGAAAGTATATTTATTGTTAGTCTCAATTATTTTTGATCAAAACATGAATAAGAATTAGCCTTTAATCTTTTCCAAAAAAAACAATTTTTTGGCAATTCACGTGAAATTTTGCAGTTTTATTTAATTTTTTGAATAAATACAAAATTAAATTATTTAGAATTTTTTATTTGCAATTTTTAAATTTTTTTATAGTATTCGAGGGGTTAAACCAAATTTAGAATAGAGTAAGAATTAATTTAGCAAATATAAAGAAAAATAAAATTTCACAGAAAGATAATTTACTGACAGAATAATAATTAAATAAAAATTTTTTACTTATAAAATTCCCGGCTAGTGTCCAGATTACGCGTTCAATCTCACCTTTAGTCGTCCCATCAACCGTTTTGCATTCAGTGAAAATTTAAGCTTTTATGTTTGTGATCTATGGCGACGTACGTACAAATTCGGGTACTCATTTTGTGCTAATCTAATCATTGAACGTGTAAAAGTTGATTGGACATAGCCACATTCCCATCCATTTTTCTCATATTTTAAACAAAATATAGCTACAAATAGACAAAAATTCCCTTAAAAATGGGCAAAATTTCCTAAAAAATTCTCCTAACATGCAAAAAATATTAAATTTGTTTATGTTCTCCGTCTAATATTGTGACTTTCATAGAATATAGAGGTATAATGAATTGGGTATGTGATCGGGCTACCTAAGCCTTAATGAGCTCTTCAGCAAATCCCAATATAGTAAAATCAAAATAGCAACATAAAAGGAACCATTAATTTGTAAAATTTTCACTAAAAATATTGCAAAAACTATCTAATAAGAACTCAATATTAAAAATAATTTAAGGAATGGATGGACCTTTAAGCAAATAAGAGGTTCCTGATAATCCAACAAATTATCCTCTGGCTGATTAATGCTAGGATGCTCCATTCTTATCGTTTGGCTGTTCCGCCCGATATCTCTATTATTCTCAGGCGAATTAAGGTGTTGGAGGCATTTCTGCAAAGTGTCTATATAGTGAATTGTCCCGTTTACTTTATAAAATAATCCAAGCTTTAAAATAAAAAGCTAATTTTTTTAAGGCTGAATAAACAATTAAAAATATTAAATGAATTTTTTGGGTAATTTTGCAATTTTTTATTAATAAAATTTGGCCAAATAAATGCCAGCAGAATTTACCAATAAAATTAATTAATTGTCAATAAAAATAAATAATTCTTTAAATAAATAAATTTACAAAAAATGACTAAAATTAATTCCATTATTTTCTTAATTTTTTTAATAATTAATTTTATGAATTATTATATAATGGCTGACAAACGAGCAACCAATCCAGGACATTCACCTGGAGTTGGAAATCGTTAAATCGGTGGAAATTGTAATTGAATTTAATTTTTTATTAACTTAATATGAATATACAGTGAATCTTGTCGATATAAAAAATAGTTTTTTGTTTCGGCAATAGGGAATTCTCAACCAAAAAATAGTCGGAAACTTCGATATATTCAGTTATTTTAAAAAGTGCAATATTTGTCGGAGATCCTTTGCTCTACAGAAAAATTTTGAGGTTACATTGTAGTTAGTCTAAGTCTATTCCTTGTCTTTCCTGGTCTGTTATACTTCAACGTCAATTTTTTTATTCTAGGTACTAACAGAGCAGGGGTGTGCCAGGGTCGCTTTTCGCATTTCACTTTTTAAATTCCGTTTCGGCACACCCTTGTAACAGAGGTCAAGTTTCTCTAGGCAGCGACCTCATATACTCTTACGGAATCTTTTGTTAGTACATAGAATTTAACTAATTGAAATTGAAGTATACCCAACAAACCATCTAATTATTCCCTAAAAATTATCTATAATTTTAAGCAAAAAATAAAAAATGTGGCAGAATAGGGGATTTGGAATTTTGGTAAATAATCTTCAACTTTTCTTTAAAAACAAAACAGAATTGGAATATTCTTCTTTAAATCATGGAAATTTATTTGGAAAAAATTTCTTCGATTTTTTTATTATTTAAATTGTTAAACTTGGAAGAATAAATTGTTATGGGAAATTTTTTAAAATATTTTTAAAATGCTCTATTCAGGGCTTTTCCTCATTTTGTGGTTTTCTGAAAGGTTGATGAGGATAATTTTTAAAAATGCTGATTTGTGGATTTTTGTAGTTTTTTGAAGATTATGAGGATTCTTTATATTTTCAAGTAGTTTTTAGTATTTCACGGTTAGGTCTTCGAATTTTTTCCCAACCGAATTAATCCAGAAAAATCCGGCGGGTCCGGCATAAACGAGAGAAACAAACTATGGGCCGCCCAAAATGCTTGAAATTTTCATCAGAAAGCAAAAAATAAAAATAGTCAAAAGTCATTGGAAAAAGTCATTCATTTTTCAGTTAATTGCTGGCATTTTTATAATATGATCATTAGTTCTAATAAAAAATTTCTCAATTATATTAATGGAAACATAAAATACATATAACGCATATAGTGATTTGTTTTTTCCAGTTTTCTTCCTTTTTATCTTTTTAACTATTATAGTTATAAAATCTCCATCATTTGAGGCTACTCGACAAAAATGCCATAAATGCAGGGTTAAATGTAAAAAGTCAAATGCCTGATAGTTATGTGATAAAAAATAGAAAAATAACCTAAAAAAATAAATTTTGTTCACCCAACAATTTAAAGTTTTTTTCTTCAAAAATATATCAAAAATGTCATTTACAATAAATGATAACAAAAATAATATTTCTAATTTTGAAAAGAAACAGCTGTCAATTATTTGCAAGCTTATCAGAGAGAAAATAAAATTTATTATAAAATTTAAAAAAAATTTTTTGCCTTAAAAAATATGTTTGGCGCCATTTTTAAATTTACAAGGAAGGAGATTGACATTATCAAGAAATTTTATTCAAGAAAAATGGGGCAAAGTTCGAAAAAAAATTTTTTACAAAATTATGGGGAGATAAAAATCTACTTGTCCCAGTAACTATAAAAGGCAATGCTTTCTTCCAATTCCTCACTTCTTTTTAATTTTCAAATCTTCCTTTCTTCACTATAAAAGCTTCAAAGGCTTCAAACCTCAAATTAAAACAAGCAACAAATCATGAAGACACTCGTCTTCATATTACTTCTTCTAAGCCTGTCTGGCTCTTCTTCAATACCACTCGCCGACCGATCCTCCAATGAATACTACTCGATGACCAAAAGTGCTCCCTTTAAAAATTTCTTCTATCGAGAGTACAATACAGCAACTGAACAAATCAAAACGCCAAACTTCCAGGAAAACAGCGAATATGTTTATAGCTACAATGCTCAAGTTGAAAATGGAATGTTGAGTTCAGTCGATTCATCCGGGACAAAAGAGGAGAGTCAACAACAAGCAATTACTCGAATCCAATCACAAATTCGAATGTATTTTTCAAGCGAAAGGCGTGGACAGCTTTGTATGACTCAATTAAAGTTTGGCCAATTTAACGATATGAGACAGATGAAGGAGAAACAATGTTATGACCCTATGGGAATGTTTGAACCAGTTAGTTTGAAAATTGAAAATTCGAATAAATTTTTGCAATTTTCAGTTGCAAATTCCCCAAGAGACTCGGCAGAAACTCGAACTTTGCTGTCAATTCGACTACGTCGATGGAATGATTACTCGAATCCAGTTCGAGAAAGAAGACGTCTCTTGGTCTAAAAACATTAAAAGAGGAGTGCTAAACATGCTCCAAATGAATTTACGCCATAATGAAGAGGCACAAAATGCCATTGGAGAGAATAAAAATGTGGATAGATTAGCTCAGAGCTTTGCAGTTCCTGAAACAACCGTTGAAGGGGAATGCCAAACTATCTATACAATTAATAAAGAATCAAAGCAATGTCAAGAGAGTCAACAACCCTGCTCTTTCAACGTTACAAAGTCGATAAATTTCAAAAAATGTTCAAAAATTGTTGATTCAACTAACGGATTCCAAACAGAACAACCTCAGCTTAAGTGCAGTCAATGCCCTATGAATGAGGATGTAAAAGTAAATGAGGAGCATGAGGGAACAGCGGAGAATCAATGCGCAGATTGCGACCCTAGAGAGATGACTGAGCAGATGGTGAGCGAGAAACTCGTTTAGGGTGTTCCTTAGGCTAGGCTTTGGATAGCTCTCAAATCTGAAGTATCGCTTAGACAGCTATCCTAACCTGTGGCTAATCAAATTTTAAAAGTCTTAAGTTAATGATTACCTAATTTCGGGGGCATCTAAAGATTACTAATTCAAGATATCTTAAATTCCAATAAAAATAATTCTCTTTTAAACAGTTGGATCGCCAAACAGTCATCCGCGCAGTGTTAAAATGTGGAACGGAACAAAAACAAAATAATTGCCCAAATTGTTGCCAATTAGATAATTCAGAAATGACGTCAAACTATATTTATAAAAATACAAAAATTGAAAGTGAAGGACTTTATGGCTCTGCATTGAGGACAAAGACATGCGCAAAACTTGTTTTAGAAACAGTACAAAATATCCAAACACCAGCCCCTCTCGCTGCTACGGCAGAATCTGATGAAGCATTGCTCTACTCGAATGAATGGGGAATGGATCTTCGACGATTCTATATGGTAAAAACTGGGTTTTATAAGAGGAAATCTGCTTATTATCTCATTTATAGTTCGGAGATGAAGCATTCCCAGATGTCAACAGTCTGCCATACAAAATGCCAAAAGTTGAGGAAGCCACCCAAGCACTCCGATCTATCGTACAGAGCACAATGGATCACCATCACGGCATCAAAACTAAACACACCATTGATCTGAGTAGATTAGTAAATAAAATGAGGATGTGTAGTTATGAGGAGCTAAAACAAATTGAACAGAATGCCAAAGACCAAAATGAAGAAAAACAGCAAAAGGTGGCAATGGATGTTTTTGTAGATTCCTTGGCTACAAGTGGGACAAGAAATACTGTTAAGCTTTTGGCCGAGATTATTGAAAATGAGGTGAAGACTAGGCTTATGAAGTAATTAAGATAACGCTTTGATTTCCAGGTAATTGATGAAAACAAAGCAGCATATGCCATTAACCAGTTGAAAAATCTTCCGATTCCTTCCAACTCCATATTAAAACAAGTCAAACAACTTGCTCAAAATGTAAATGTACAAAACAAGCCCGCGGTTAGACAAGCAGCTTGGCTAATTTTTGGTGCATTGGTCAATGAATTATGCCAACATAAGGGCCGAAAAGTGATGGAATCATCTCAGGATGTGTCAAAATCCGTTCAGGAGCAATGTACCGATGATAAGAAGGAAGAGTACAAAAGGGTAAATTTTAAAAATACAAGATACGCTAAAAATTTACATTTCGACACTCGCCCCCAAAAAGTGCCATTTTGGCACTTTCTTTTGATTGAATCCACAGTATCCAGAAAACATACATTTCCCCTTCACTTCACCCTAATCCACAAAAAATTTCATTTTGACATTAACTCATTTTTCATTTACAGACATTGTTAGAGCAGTACAACCAAGCCACAACTTTCTATGACAAATTCCTTGCACTTTCTGCTCTAGGAAATGCCGGGATTGATACTACAACACCTTACATTGACCAAATAATTAACGACAAATCTCAAGATTATCTAATTCGAGTAAAAGCTATTGACGCTCTTCGCCGTCTTTTCACAAAACAGCCACGAACTATCCAACAAATTCTTCTCCCAATATTTTTGAATAATCAAGAGGATGCTTATTTTCGTTCGAGCGCCTTGAATACTCTATTGAGAACACAACCAGAACCTTCAGTAATAGACCAAATTGTTTATTCAATGAGGCAGGAACCAAACAAACGTGTAAAGGCGAGTACTTATCAGACATTGAAGAATGTGGCGGAATCGAGAAATCCTGTAGATCAGCAAGTGTCGAAACATGTCAAAAACGCTTTGAAATCTGTCAATATTGACAATGAAGAAATGAAAAACTACAAATTATGGCAAATTCCTGCTTTCTGCTCGAAGCAACAGGAAGGAGTTTTCTTCACTATTGGGGCTAGAAAAGCTCAGCGTTGGATGCCAAACTTTTCTTATCTGAAAACTGACACGTACCTAAATGAAAAGTCGAATCTTGACTCTTTAACTGTATATGTTCTACAAGCTTCTGAGGGTTATGATAGTTATGAAGAAACTCGTAACTACACTGCCAGTACAAATAATAATGACCAACACAGTGAGAATAGGTAAAATTCATAGGCTCTTATGAAGCCTTTTCATTCGTTTCACTTTTAAGTAAAACACTGAAACAAATTAATCAAATGCTTCAAATCAAGAGCCGAAATCCGTTTAAGTATGGATATGGAGATGAACAACAGTCTTCCTCTCAAAATCCGTTGAAATATGGATATCCAACTGGACAACAACAGTCTTCCTCTCAGAATCCGTTGAAATATGGATATCCCTATGGACAGCAATCTACCAATTATTTCCTCAGAAATCAGCAAAACCCATCATCTGTTCTCTGTGTTAGAATAGGAGATGTTGACCATTCGTTCCATGCTCTAAATCAAAATTGGGATATCATGTCCAAAAAAAGTGGGATACAAAATTGGGCTATAATGTCATCTCAAACATCAATCCCAACTACTTCACCAATGTTGGAAGAAATTCTTCAGTCAATTCAAAGAGGAGAAATGCCAAAGTTCAATCGTTTAATCTCGTTATTCGATCTCCAACAACTCCAATCTTTCCAAAATCACACATATTCGGCAATTTTCAATGAGAGAGAAGCATTAATTCCAACTTCTGTGGGGATTCCTGTCAAAATTGTCAACTCAGTTCCGATGATCATGAATGTAGAAGCAAGTACTCACCTGCAAAATAGGCAAAATCAAGAAGCTAAAGTTCAAATTGATGCGAGAATCATGGCTGGTGTTTCACACGTTCAGAGAATTGTGAGGCCAAATGTCTTGTTTAATCATAAATTTCATTTATATTTAGGGCTCCTGGACACCTTTCCTCATCACCGGCGTAAGCAACACCCGCTCCGTCGAGTTATGCCTCTGATCAGTTTTTGAGCTTTGCAAATTTGAATTGGGGAGCGGATACACGTAAACAACAAGTGAATATGCGAATTGTTGGGGAACAAGCACCTGAAAGAACTTCTGGATGGTATATGTTCCAAAATCAGCAGGAAGGGGAAAATCAAGAGGGAGAACAAAATGAGGAGAATCAAAATTCTGATCAAAACTCCTCTCCTTTCACCACTAAACTCCAACGTAGAACGGCATTTATCAATCTCTACAACTGTAGAATGGAATATACCAACTTAACTCCAGCAACCAGAAATGTGTTTGAAAGGGCTGTTGAATTGGTCAAGTCTAAATATTTTTGGAATTCGAAGACTGAATTAAAGAGTGAAAGTAGCTTGAATCCAGAAAATGGAAAGGTTCTCTATTTGCAAAAAAATTCAAAAAATTTAAAAATTTCCTAGGTATACTGTACACTCTCTATAGACTCTTTAACCCAAAATCATGCCAACATTACCCTTATGACACCAGAACAGATTGTCCATTTGCAACAGATTGAAATGCCCTTCAAGCTTCGTCCTTTTTCTCTAAGACGTCGAAATGTACAAAGCATCCAGTCTTTCGACCAGTTCTACTCTCAACAAGAAATTAAAAATCGTGCAGAGTGTTCGGTTGATGGAAGGACTGTTCGGACTTTCGGTAAATAGAATTTAAAATGGGGGAAATTCTGATCCCGCAGAATTCTGGTTATTCTGATTTCATATTATATTAAAATACAAAATTCTGATTTTAAAAATTCTGATTTTATTGAGATTTTTTATTCTGATTTTCCCAAATTCTGATTTTTTCTGTTTTTATTCTGAAATTATTCCGAGTTTACTAATTCTAATTATATTCTGATCTGGTTTTCAGAATTCTGATTTCCAAAATTCTGATTTCGTAAAATTCTGATTTTTCAAAATTCTGATTTTAAAAATTCTGATTTCATTCTGATTTCGCTAAATTCTGATTTTTCCACAGACGGAAAGAGATACAAGGCTCCACTCTCCACCAGCTGTTATTCTGTTCTCGCCAAAGATTGCGGTAGAATGATTCATATTCCCGATTTCGTAGTTATGATGATGTCTACTGGAGAAGGATCTAGTCATTTTAGTCAAAAGGCAAATTTAAAAAATTCAAAAAAAAATTAAAATTAATTTAAAAATAGAAACTGAAAATTCTTACACATGGACAAAGCGTCGAATGTCAACACGAAACAACCGACAGCCGTAAAATTGTGTGTAAAATTAATGGACGTTATTTGAACGAAAATAATGAGAACAACCTTGTGGAGTACAGCAATGCTAAAATGAGTGATGTAACTCTTCATTTGAAGGAAGTTTCTGTTCGCTTCAACGGCTACAAGGCCTGGATTAAACTTTCGGGGGCTTATAGAAACACTCAATGTGGACTTTGTGGACACTACGACGATGCTACAAATGATGAAAATGAAATGATAATGGCCAATAATGAATTTAGTGAGAAAGGGGGAATTTTGGATAAGATTTTCAAAAATTCCACAAATTTCGAAAAATTTCAGATTTTTCAAAAAAATTTTTGAAAATTCTCAGAAATTTTCAAAAATCCCCAAAAATCTCAAAAAATTTCCATTTCTAGCCTCCAACCTCGCCCAATTCCATCGTTCCTATTCTCTTTCAAACAGCCACGACAACAACGACCAAATGTGCAATGAACAACAACTTGACAGATTTTATGAAGAAAATAAAAATAAATTTGGCTATTCTGAAGCTTTGGAAATAGAGGAAGAAGAGGGTAAGGAAATGAAGGAAGGAAGCAAAAATAAAAAATATAATGAATGGGAAGATGAAATGTTTGATGGAACTTTTGGTGATCAGAGTGAAAATGATGAGGCCTATTTCTCTGATAATTATCAAGGAAGTGAGCAATATATTATGAGGAGTGAGATGAATGGAAATAAAATGGAGAAGATTATAGGTTGGTGAAGTTTCGAGTTTCGTGAATTTCGAGTTTCGTGAATTCCGAGTTTCGTTTTTCGAATTGCTTCGTAGTTGAGATAAATTTTTTATTGAACAACAGAGCAGTTTGAACTTGCAAATTTTCAAGTTTCACAAATTTCGAGTTTCGCAAATTTCGAATTTAGTGAATTTCGAGTTCTGCTTCGTATTTCGGAAAACAAATTTTTACCGAATAACAAACAGTGCCATCTCGAAATCACTAATTAATTGAAAATCCACAAAATTTTCTTAATTTTTCTAGCCCCACAAGAGAAAACCAGATTGATCGAAATGGAAAACGAAATATGCTTCTCGAAACAACAGATAAAGCAATGCCCAAGTGGAAGCTATCCTTATGGTTGGTATAATAATGGAGACAACGAAAGCCTTCAAGAAAACCTTCAAGCAAATCAACAAGGAAATAAGCAAACAAACCAACAAAACTTTACATCAAAAAATGTTCCCTTCATACACTGCGGTGCATATGTTTATGCACACTAGTTTTTTGTTCATAAGTTTATGCACACTTATTCAAAAAATATGTTCTATATGGCAATCGAAAGCTTTATCTGTATCTCAGTTGACATGTTTCTGCATTTTTCGAAATTCTGATATTTTCGAAAACTTTTCGACCGGTCTAACAGGTACTACATTTTCAACTTTTCGAAGAAATTTTTTTGAGGTCTGTAAAATATATATGTGATTCTCCTCTAGATTCTACATATAATACAAAAAAATCATCCAAATCGGTCGAGATTCGAGCGAGTTATGAATTTTTGAAAATCGAAAAAATACCATATTTTTGCCATTTTTCGTAAAAAATCGCGTTTTTTTCGATTTTCAAAAAATCATATCTCCGTTCCGGAAAAAGATATTTCTAAGCGGTTTTGTGGTAAATACTCACAAAAATATGCTTTATCAAATGGGTTTGTTAAATTTTTTCCGAAAAATTTTTCTGAGGATATGGGATTTGGTATATCCGGTAGATCCGGATTATCTCGGCCAATTTTCATTTTCATGGAAAATGCAGAAACATGTCAACTGAGATACAAATAGAGCTTTCGATTGCTATATAGAACGTATTTTGTTGCTAAGATTGCATAAAATTATGAACAAAAAACTAGTGTGCATAAACATATGCACCGCAGTGTATGCCTTCCACGTTCCGATTTCGAAACTCGACAACTTTTGCGTTTATACAAACAAAATAATAATCAAATTAATAATATTAATGATATGTACAAGCAACACAGTTTTATTGAAAAAGTGCATGAACCTAAAGAATGCAGATTTCTATTATAGAACTATAAATTAGCGATAGACTTTTGATAATTCTGAAATTTTGATAATCTGAACTTGACTAAAAAATAAAAAAGACCAAAGTAGAGCAAAAAGTTTTACCTATTTTAGACTTTTCGATCAAAACTCAAATAAGAATTTTACCTTTAGCCTTTAATCTTTTCCAAAAATAAAACAATTTTTTTGGTAATTCACGTGAAATTTTGCAATTTTATTTAATTCTTTAAATAAATACAAAATTAAATTTATTTATAATTTTTTGTTTGCAATTTTTTAATTTATTTATAGTATTTGAGGGATTAAACCAAATTTAGAATATTTAGAGTAAGAATAAATTTCACAGAAAGATAATTGACTGACAGAATAATAATTAAATAACGATTTTGTCTAGTAGAGAGTCTTGGAGTTTTGGTCTTGGTCTTGACAAAAATTTTGTCTTGGGTCTTGAATCTTGGAAAAATTTCGGTCTCGGACATTTCTAGTGTCTAGCATCCAATCTCGCCTTTAGTCGTCTCAACAATCCTTTTGCGTCGATGAAAGATTATGTTATAATGCGTGTGATCTATGGCGACGTCGTACAATTCGCATATTTATTCTTTGCTAATCTAATCATTGAACGTGTAAAGGTTGATTAAAGTTCTCCACATTCCCATTTATTTTTTCATCATTGATAACAAAATATAGCTACAAATAGACAAAAATTCCCTTAAAAATGGTCAAAATTTCCTAAAAAATTCTCCTAACATGCAAAAAATATTAAATTTGTTTATGTTCTCCGTCTAATATTGTGACTTTCATAGAATATAGAGGTATAATGAATTGGGTATGTGATCGGGCTACCTAAGCCTTAATGAGCTCTTCAGCAAATCCCAATATAGTAAAATCAAAATAGCAACATAAAAGGAACCATTAATTTGTAAAATTTTCACTAAAAATATTGCAAAAACTATCTAATAAGAACTCAATATTAAAAATAATTTAAGGAATGGATGGACTGATAATCCAACAAATTATCCTTTGGCTGATTAATGCTAGGATGCTCCATTCTTATCGTTTGGCTGTTCCGCCCGATATCTCTATTATTCTCAGGCGAATTAAGGTGTTGGAGGCATTTCTGCAAAAAGTCTATATAGCGAATTGTCCCATTTACTTTATAAAATAATCCTAACTTTATAAGCAAAAGCTAATTTAATTAAAAGGCTGAATAAACATTTTAAATTATTAAATGAATTTTTTGGTAGTTTGGTGATTTTTTATTTTCAAAATTTGGCCAAATAAATATTAGCAGAATTTAAAATTCAACTAATTTTTTACCAAAAGGCATTACTCTACTACATATTTAGTTAAAATGGTTTTGCATAAAATTTTACCAATTTCTTTAATTTTGCTCTTTGAGATTTTATTAACTAAGGTTTTCGAGGCAAAATGTTTTGCCGATGCGGAGAAAGCCGGGCATGTCAAGCGGAATGACGGCCGCCGCTTCGTTACGTTCGCAAAGCACGGCCATCGTTTTGTGCGCTCCTTTTCTACGCCTTTTTCTGCGCCACATTTTGAAAATAAGGAGGTCCTTCAATTAGATTTGCTTCATTTTTTGCGACGCAGGCAGAAATTTTGAGAATTTTGGGTGACTTAGTCGCCAGATTTATTCCTTTTCTGCGCCGCAGGCGAAAATTTTGAGAGTTTAATTACCCAAGTTTAAGATTTCAGATAAAAGATTTAAATA